GGAAGGAATGGTTTTATGACAGGAAGCCAGGGATCGATTAAGAGCATAATGTTTTGCGTATTGAAGTTGGTGGCACTATAAAAGAGATTGTTAGGACAGACAATAGTGATACTCCATTGATTAACACTTTGGAGTTGGTGACATGCTCGCATGAGATAGCTAGGTCTTTTGTGGTGTACCTGATTCTTTCTAATTTGATCATGTCTGATTTGGAGTACATTCGTAGGCATGAGGCACAGGTGGATTCCATTCAAGAGGAGTTCCGTGATGTATTTCTGAATGAGTTACCTGATGGTTTGTGTAGCGCATGTGATCATGAGATGAGATTTGGATATACTGTCACCGTGGATTCTTAGAACCTTGGGGGATAAATGGGGATAAAATAGCCACTAAAGGCTCTTTCATCAAGCAATTGCCCTTTTTTAAGTTGGTTTAAGGGGAGAGAGATAAGGTGCACTACAGTTGGTATCAGAGGAAATGGCACGGGTTCGATTCCCATTGATTAGTGGCTATTTAAAAATATAATATACCCTTGAGCAAAGTATATTCCTACCCTTAAATTTGAAATCGTACATATTGGGCATCCATGCGTATGTCCTTCCTCTTGTGTGGAGTATCCACGGATGAAAGTATCCACCGTGGGACTGCAGTACGGGTGGATGACTAGTTACCTCACATGGAATAGCTAGTCTATACAATGGAAGGATTGGTAAATTCAGTGCGAAAATGGAGGTGTTAGTTCCCCTTGGCTCAGTAGGGATTGTTAGTTAATAGTCAATGAGGACATTGACATCTCTGAAGGGGGGGTGAGTGTAGTGCATGTGATCATGAGATGAGATTTGGATATACTGTCACCATGGATCTTTGGAACCTTGGGGGATAAATGGGGATAAAATAACCACTAAGGGTTCTCTCATCAAGCAATTGCCCTTTTTCCAATTGGCTTAAGGAGAGAGAGATAAAGTGCACTACCATTTGCCTCCAAAATGTGGAATTTAGCATGAGATTGACTTGGTTCCTGGAGCTACTCCTTTTCAGCAACAACCGACTTGTACTAGTCCCGCTGAAGATAAGGAGATTAATAGGCAGCTTGCTGAATACCTTCGAAAAGGGTAGTTATGGATCAGCAAGTCTCCTTGGGCTACTCTAGTGGTGATGGTCAAAAAGAAAGATGGTACATGGCATCTCTGCATGAACTACAAGGGATTAAATGATAGGACAGTGAAGAATATGTTCCCGATCCTTCGTATCGATAACTTGCTCAATCGTCTTTGTGGAGCTCGATGTTTTTCGAAGATTGATTTGAGGCAAGGATATCATCAGATTTATGTCAAGCCAGAGGATGTTCCAAAAACTGCATTTCGAACAAAGACAGGTCATTACAAGTTTTTAGTGATGCCGTTTGGTTTGACAAATGCTCCTGCAACTTTTCAAAGATTGATGAATCACGTTCTACAACCTTACTTGGGAAAGTTTGCAATTGATTATTTTGATGATATCCTAGTATTCAGCTCTTCTGTGGAGGCACATGAGATGCATGTGCGAAGTGTTTTACAACTTTTGAGGGACAACAAGCTCTATTCAAAGTTATCCAAGTGCGACTTTTTTTTAGAGGAGATTGGATATCTCGGGCATTTGATTTTGGTACATGTAGTAAGAGTTGATCCCACAAAGATTCAGGCCATGGTTGATTGGCCTATACCTTCGACAGTGCATGATCTCTATAGTTTCCTTAGTATGGCTGCAGTTTTTCGACGATTTGTGAAGGACTTTTCAAGGATAGCAACCCCTTTAATTGATCTTCTCCAGAATACGTCGAAACATGCTACTATTCATGGTTGGGATGAGAAGTGTGAAGTAGCATTTCAACGTTTGAAGCAGTGTTGTATCTTTGCTCCGGTGTTGAAGATTTTTGATCCTGAAAAGCCCTTTGTGGTTGAGATAGATGCAAGTGACATTGCTATTGGAGCCGTATTTCTTCAAGTTGGGCATCCTCTTGCCTACATAAGCCATAAGTTTGATGCCACACAACAGAATTGGCTTACTCGAGACAAGGAGTTGTATGCTGTGATTGCTGTTGTGAAGGAATGGCGACATTATTTATATGGATCGGACTTCCATGTGGATTCAGACCATCAATCCCTCCAATATTTTAGTCGACAAAAGGATCTTCGAGGCTGCCTTACTCGTTGGCAAGAGTTCCTGCAAGAAATGTCTATTAAGATCCAGTACAAGCATGGAGGTGACAATAAGGTGGCTGATGCGTTATCTAGGATGGTAAATTTTATCTCGTTCGTGAAGCTATCTAGCGATCTTTTGAATGAGCTTAAGGAGTTTGTTGACTTCGACTCCTTTATCATTGATATTTGCGTGAAGGTTTTGTTGAGGGATGCCTCTACAGATTTGAAGGGTGATAAGTTTGCATCATTCGAAATATGAGATGAAATTCTGGTGAAGAAGGGATGTGTAGTGGTTCCTCGTGTTGACAAACTCATCAAACGAATTTTGGTTGAGTGTTATGATGTGCCAAGTGCTGTGCATCCAGGGGTATTAAGAATGTATATGTTGGTGAAGAGGCATTTCTTTTGGCCTAGGATAAAGTCAGATGTTAAGAAGTACATACGTGGTTGTTTGACCTATCAGGCGGTCAAAGTTGATCATCAGAAGCTTGCTAGCTTTTATCATCCTTTACGTGTACCTGAGAATAAGTGGGATAGCATCTCGATGGACTTTATCACTGGTTTGCCCAAAACCTTTCGAGGAAATGATGCTATTTGGGTTGTTGTGGATCGTTTGACGAAGATGGCTCACTTCTTCCCTGTGAAGACAACGATAAAAGCTTCTGAACTTGCTCAATTGTTTGTAGACCAGTTATTCAATCTCTATGGTTTGCCGGGTGACATTGTGAGTGATCGGGATCCTAAGTTCACGTCCAAGTTTTGGCAAACAGTCTTTGAGAAACTAGAGACTAAATTGAGCATGAGTAGTGGTGAGCATCCACAATCTGATGGGCAGACAAAGTGCATGAATCAGCTATTAGAAGATATGTTACGGTCTTTTGTGGGAAACTTGACTCGACAAAGAGTATGGGAGAAATACTTGCCTTTGCTTGAGTTTGCTCATAATAACACTCATCAATCGGCTATTGGCATGTCTTCTTTTATGGCGATGTATGGCTATGAGCCTAGGTCTTCTGTGAGTTTGAATTTGGCTTTGGTTCAGGTTCCTCATGCTTGTGATTTCCTGGAGGATATGCAAGACAAGCTTGAGTTGGCAAAGTTGAATATGAGACAAGCTCAAAAGTGAGATAAAAGATTAGCTAATGAGCATTGTTGTCATCAAGAGCACAAAGTTGGTGACAAAGTTTTCCTTAAGTTGTCAGATGCACAATGGTCTTTAAAAGGAGGTGGTAGTGCTAAGTTGTCTCTATGGTATTGTGGGCCTTGGACAATTTTACAGCGTGTGGGGGATCTTGCATACACTTTGGACTTGCCAGTTAGTTCAAAGATTCATCCAACGTTCCATGTGAGCAAGCTTAAAACATGTTTGCACTCTGGTGATATCGTGGATCATTCCATCATCCAGGTTCCAGAGATTGATGCAGAAAAGGTTGGTCCAGCCAATATTCTTGCTCAAAGATTGGTGAAAACACACCAGAAAACAACTAGGGAGTTGTTAGTTCAGTGGAATGGTTATTCTATGGACGAAGCTATATGGGAAACTGAGGATGACGTGAAGAGAGTGTTTCCGAGTTTTGGTTATAACTTGGATGACATTCCTGAGGAAGGGGAGAATTGAGTTCTATAGCTATATTGCTATATGATTTGAGCCATTTTTTCTATTCTCATTCTCTTGTTTCCATGACTGTATTGTCATATGAGAAGGCTATATTGCTTTCTTTCTTTCGTGGCCATTTGTGGCAACGTTGGTGTTGCTATTTGCACATCTTTTCTCCATGGCCATATTACCTTAGACTCCCTTTATGTGAGGCTCGTTTAGCTTCTTGAAGCTGCCATATGTGGCTGGGTCATGAGGGAGGGGAGAACCACAGAAATATTCTGAGAGAATATTCTATGGCTTGTGGGATTTAAGGCCGTAACGCTTTAAGGGTTTGGAGGTTGGCCTAGGGTTTGCTCTCTTGTTCGTTTCAGGAGGATTCATTCCTTATGAACAAACTCATGAAAATGAAAGAATTTGAAGACTTCTTATGTTGTGCGAAAATAAACGAATATCATGATCACAAGTTTTGACAATCAGGGACATTTCTTAGGTTCTTGCTTGAAGCTGGTGAATATCACAGCTGGGGCATCAAAAGAGAATGCAGGTCTTATATTTTACTTTCCATCTCTCCTTTGATTCGTTTTTTCCTGGTCTTTGCTATGTTAGGGTTTTGACCAAACCAATCGTGGAATGACGCCAGTATATAAATCAAGGTCTGAAGTATAGATCCATACTTACCTGACAGGGTTTATTGGTGATCCTGAAGGCCAATGGCCCAGGTTTGGCCTTCCCATTGCACTCTGGCTTGGCTGGCCTACCTTCTTCCCAAAGTGGAGGAGTGGACGTCGTGAATTTCTGGAAGTTGAGGGCTCGTGTACGCGCGGCCCTCTCCAAATCGGTAAAATATGCACAAATACTAAGTTGGATTGGATGAGATAGATAAAGATTAGCTTGACATGAAATATTCTACAGAACTAGTTCTATGGCTTGGACCTTTCTTCAAGTTTCCAAGTTCCATTGATGCACGAAGTGGGGGGAAAGCTAAGAACTTCCTCAGCTCCTTCAGAAGTTGCAGACTTTGCTTCTGAAGGTTAGTTCTAGTACTTGAAGTTTGTGGTTTTGTTTGCTCTTGATTTACATATAATAATTTGGTTGCTTGTATATGGATCCATGATGCTTCATATGCTGTGTTGTTTGGTTCAAACTTACTAATCCATATTTTGACGTAACTAGGTCTTGAAAGATTAGAACGTCATTTGTGCTTCTTTGAACTTCTGCCTACAAGCTTATTTTATAAAAACGACCACGCCTTACTTGACGAACGCATTCGTACATGTCTGGTACGTGCCGTACACCGCAAACACGACTCCAAAGACCACCAGCGTCGCGTCCACGGCCCTCGACCACGCCGGCGCATCCGCGCACACCCGCGCGTGAAAGAGCGCCGGGAACACGAACGCGAGGAGCGCACACACGGTGCTTCCCACCAGCGAGATGAAAGTCCCAAACCCGGGCACGGCCACCGCGATGAGCGCCACCACCACCACCACGACCCCGCGGATGGAGCCCGTCACCGCGGCCAGCAGCCTTGGCGATGGCACCACGCTCCGCTGGAACCACTTGTTGAGCAGCAGCCTCCCCTCGAAGATCTCGTACACGGGGTACATCATCACCGGGAACGTGAAGAAGAGCGCGATGGAGAGGCCGAGCTTGACGAGCTTGGTCGACCAGTCGCGGTTCCCCAGGTTGAGCGTCACGATGTCCAGCGTCTCCTCGCCAAAGGCCGCGTACCCGGCGAGTCCAAACACCAGGTAGACCGTCGTGATCAATCCAAACGCGAGGCCGAGAACCCTGGCGAACTTGTGTGGCTTCCTCATGGATGCCTGTAGCGAGAGCGTCATGCCGAAGCCCTCGTAGCAGTAGATGCACACCCCGAGCGCGAAGGGGACCGACTGCCACCCTTTGAAGGTCGCCATCTTTTCTCCGGTGCTGTGGAGGCGGCCCAGGTCCTCCTTGATGACGATGGCCATGGCGAGGACGTTGCAGACGTTTGCGAAGATGCTGAAGGGCGCCAGGGACGCGAGGGAGCGCACCCAGGCGAGGACGATCTCCAGGGGGACGAGGATGGCGATTACCAGCGCGTACTTGGAGTCCGGGAAGAAGACGGAGGACAAGTTGTGGCCGATGAAGATGAGATATGCGACGCAGCAGCCGGCCTGGGAGATGAGGAGCGTCACCTCGATGACTTGGCGGCCGAGGTTGCCGAAGGTGTGGTATCCCAGGTCCGGGTATGTTTGGATGAAGTGGTGGCCGCCATTGCTGGAAAGCTTGTCCCGGCACTTTACCTGCGAGAGAGCGAGAGTGGTGAGATGTGAGTATGGAAACTACTCAAGATCATACGCGAGACAAGTGATCAGTGAGACAATCTAAGTCGAGATGGACTAGTAGCGAATGAGAACTATAGTAAAGTTGTCGTGTAGGATAGAAGATCAAGTCTCCCTATTCACTAGAACTCAAGAACAACACGATCTACTCGATCAAAGAAAACTCGTTCGTGCTACATTCACTACTCACTACCAATCAAGCTAGAAAAGATGGCTCGAATAGGAAGAGCTTAGCTCACCAGTAAGATCATACAGTAATAGGAGAGACCTCCCGCAAGGGTGATCGAGGTAGCAGCAACCGCCCATCCGCTGACCCTGTAAGTGAATGGAAGCCCCAACACACCCGACCCTAGAATCGAGATGATAATGTTGGCAAACGTCTTCCTCACCGACGCTCCTTCTCCTCCTCCTGGCAGCAACGATGATCGCGGCAAAAGCGCTGTCGCCTCGTCCACCATCTCAATCGATCAAAGAGAAGATCGACGCTCTCTCTTGATGTAGCGAACAAAAAAAAGAAGGCTCGCGCAAACTCTCTGGGCCTTTCTAAGGCAGGACACGTAATAATGGCAAAACGAGAGAGAGAGAGCAGGAATCTAGGTGCGTCAGCCGGGAGTCGAACCCGGGTCTATTGCTTGGAAGGCAATTATCCTAACCGTTGGACTACTAACGCCTTTGTGTTACTTTTTCTCCACAAACTAGTCCTGTATGGTATTTTGCTTAGAGTTTATAAAGGATGAGATTTCAGGCTTTTGGTACAGGCAAATTCATCAACAAGGCAGTGGAGTGGAATTATGCAAATGCCTGGTCGGCGAATTCACTTTGCGTGAGAGGCTGGGCTTCCCAGGCATAATCAGGGGATATTCGAACGTTTTCCTTGTGATGTTAGAAATGTTCTCTCTTGGATTCTCTGTGTGTGAAACATCGCTTGCAATGGTGTCAGCGCAATTAAACCTGAAAAGCGGGAAATTTTAGTATTATCCCTCCGTACCACGACCCCTGCCGCCAAAAATCCAGACCTTGATAATACGTTGCTAATGCGACTGATGCGATGTATGAAGAAAGCATCGAACATGCAAAGAAAATATATCTTTAGAGATAGACCGATAACTAAGCTCTTGATCACTTAGGCAAAAACTATATTCTCTTTTGACTCCCTTGTGTTTTGTGTCACCCAGAGTGACTCTATCTATGCCAGGATCTTCAAAGAAAATGGCTTGTGTCTCGAGGGCAAGGCATCGCGTCGCGTCGGTTTGAGAGCGATCCACATTCTCTCAGGTGAGTGGCAGTGAAAGAAAGAATCTATTCTCTATTCCTCTCCTCCTTTCTCTTTTGATTCTTTCCCTCTCTCAGACTCGAAAGCATCTCCGCGCAAGGGAGGATCGATCGGTCGGCGATGGACAAGGATCGCCATGATGTTGTCGTGACGATCGAGAAGCAGCAGCAGCAGCAGCAGCGATCCATTGCTGGCAGGAGAGATTCGCCGTCCTCTTCGCCGCCGCCACCGCCACCGGGATCGTCCAATGGCGAGCGGATCTCGGTGGTTTGCGACGCGCCCAAGAGCCCATCGCCCAGAAGATCGCCGCCCAAGGCCAGCGGCATTTCCGCCAGATCGTCCAGGGGCTCCAGCTACAACTTCTCGGAAGACGAACAGCCCCTGGCTATGGCGGCGGTGATCGAGGGCAGCGAGCAAGCAGAAGAAGGGAGCGTCCCCGGCGCTAGGAACAAAAGCTTCGATTTTGGGGTGGGATTGAGCAATGGCAGCGGCGGCGGCGCAATGGCGTCGTCCTCCTCGTCTCTCTCACCACCCAAGAACAGGGGAAATGGACAGGGCTACCACAGACTCCCCTCTCCCAATCGCCAGGAGCAAGACCCACCCAAGCAATCGTCCGCGCAATCCTCGCCCGCGAGGCGCGTGAGCAGCCCCCAAGTCGCGGAGATCTTCCTGGGCGATGCCAAGAACACCACGACGCTTAGAAACGCGATCGCCGCCGCCGCCACCGCCGATTCGCCGCCCGCCGCGATCCCCTCGCCCAAAACCGTGAGCTTCGATCCAGCGCCACCGCCAGCGCCAGCACCGCCTACGATCAAGGAGCCAAAGAACTCGACCCCGGTGGACGCGGTGGTGGTCAAGGCCCCCGCCAGGCTCAAGAGCAAATCCAGGCTAGCGGAGCCGCCGCCGCCGCCACCACAGCCGCGCGAAGAATCCAAGCTCGCCACCCCGGGCAATGCGGTGGCGCCGGGCTCCGGGCGGCTAGGCGGCGGAGATGCGGCGCCGCCAGCGGAGGAGGAGGATCCACTCCGCGACGTCGATCTCCCGGACAAGTACCGCCACGCGCGCTGGGGCTGCTGCTCGCTCTTCCAGCTGGTGGCGCTCGTCCTCCTCACCGCGCTGCTCGTTTGCAGCGTCACGGTGGCGGTGCTCCGGCGGCGCTCCATCCTGGGCCTGGAGCTGTGGAAGTGGACGGTGATGGTGCTGGTGGCGCTCAGCGGCCGCCTCCTCAGCGGCTGGATCATCCACGTCGCGGTCTTCTTCATCGAGCGCAACTTCCTGTGGCGCAAGCGCGTGCTCTACTTCGTCTATGGCCTGCGCAAGGGCGTCCAGACCGCGCTCTGGCTCACGCTCGCGCTCGTCGCCTGGCTCCTCCTCTTCGATCCCAAGGTGGAGCGCTCCACCAAGAACAATCGCGCGCTCCTCTACGTGACCAAGGTGCTCATTTGCCTGCTCATCGCGGCCTTCGTGTGGCTGGCCAAGCTGCTCTTCGTCAAGGTGCTGGCCAGCTCCTACCACGTCAACACGTACTTCGATCGCATCCAGGAGTCGCTCTTCAGCCAGTACATCCTGGAGAAGCTGTCCGGGCCGCCGCTGGAGTTCGTGGGCGATGACGATCGCGGTGGAGCGCCACCGTCCTTGATCAAGAAGAAGGGCCTGAGCTTCAAGGTGGTGGATCAAGGCGCTCCCGCCACCGCCGCCGCCAAGAAGAAGGATAAGGCTTCATCGGACTCGGTGCTGAGCATCGACAAGCTGCAAAAGATGAACCAGCGGAACGTCTCGGCGTGGAACATGAAGCGGCTGGTGATGCTCGTCAAGCAGTCCAACATCTCGACGCTGTCGCAGACGATCGACAGAAGCGACGATGGGCAGGAGAACGAGATCCAGACCGAGTGGCAGGCGCGCGCGGCGGCCAAGGAGGTGTTTAGAAACGTCGCACAGCCGGGAAGCAAGTAAGTCCTCATCGTCGTGCATGGTTTCATGAGCCGATAGATGATCGAGGGCGATTGATCGTTTCTTTCAGGCAGATTGTGCTCGAGGATCTCTTGCGCTTCCTCACGCCCAGCGAGGCTCACAAGGCGCTGGCGCTGTTCGAGGGCGCCGCCGAGGCCGAGACCATCACCAAGAAGAACCTCGTCAACTGGGTGGTACGTAAAAAACCGATCTTTCAGCTGAAAACTTCGTCTTCCTTGCGCATTCTAGATCAGTGTGTACCGGGAGAGGAGATCACTGGCGCTGTCGCTCAATGACACCAAAACCGCGGTGGACAAGCTCCACCACATCATCAATGCCGTGACCGGGGTGGTGATTGTGATAATCTGGCTGCTGGTGCTGGGCATAGCCACCTCGCACTTGCTCATCTTCGCGTCGTCGCAGCTGCTGCTCATCGTCTTCATCTTTGGTAACACTTGCAAGACGGTGTTCGAGGCCATCATCTTCCTGTTCGTGATGCATCCCTACGACGTGGGCGATCGCTGTGTCATCGATGGCGTCCAGGCAAGTGGATCGATACTATATGTTTCTCTCAAAGTTCTCAAGATCAAACGTGGGGTGGCTTTTCTAGATGATCGTGGAGGAGATGAACATCCTGACCACCGTGTTTCTCCGCTATGACAACGAGAAGATTTACTATCCCAACTCTGTTCTAGCCAGCAAGCCGATCAGCAACTACTACCGGAGCCCAGACATGACCGACGCCATCGACTTCACCGTGGACATGTCCACCCCCGTCGAGAAGATCGCGGCACTCAAGGAGCGAGTCTCAAAGTTCGTCGTTTCCAGCTTTGCTCAATCCAGATTGACTTTGATCGTGCTTGTTTTGCAGGTATATCAGCTCCAAATCGGCTCACTGGCACAACAAGTCGACCATCGTGGTCAAGGACATCGAGGACATGAACCGGATGAAGATGGCGCTCTGGGTCCAGCACACGATGAACTACCAAAACAATGGCGAGCGGCTCATTCGCCGCTCCGACCTCTTGATCAAGCTCAAGACTTTCTTCCAGGAGCTCGGGATCGAGTACCATCTTCCCCCGCAAGAGGTCACTCTCTCCGACAATCACACCATTGCTGCACATCCCTTCCGCCTGTCCTAGAGCTGTCAAAATCGGTCTTCAAGATCTCTAAACTTACTTTCTGTCACAGTGGTCTGTCATTGAGCTAGTGTTGGAAGCAAACATGAGAAGTGGACGGGAGTACTGTAGATGCCATTGGCACTATGTGAACATGAGAAGTGGATGGGAGTACTGTAGATGCCATTGGCACTATGTGAACATGAGAAGTGGACGACAAGTACTGTAGATGCCATTGGCACTATGTGAAAATGGAAGTTCGTGCTACTTACTGCAAGAACTAGACATGTAGCACCAGGCAATTGAATACGACGCTCGTGTTTTAAATCAAGCCTTGTCACCTTGCACGTCCCGGTTGATCACAACAAAACTTACAGATATATAACCATGGTTACCGTTCATTGTAGCTCCATCTTGCAATTCCCCTCTAAGATCCATTCAAGAGAGAGTTTCTTAGCTAGATTTCATCCAGATGATTCAAATGGCGGTGGTGATCTCATGTGTTCTTCTATCGTTTCTGGCAAAGCTGGCAACTTGCGCTGACTCCGACCCTCTCCAGGACATCTGCGTGGCGGATCTCAACTCCAGCGTTACCCTGGTGAATGGTTTCCCCTGCAAGTCCATCTCCCAGGTTGTGGGAGAGGACTTTCGCTTCCGGGGGCTCGGGGTGGCGGCCGACACTAACAACACCCTGGGGCTCAAGATCACCACCATCAACGTTTTCAAGTTCCCGGGTCTCAACAGCATGGGCATCTCCGCGGCGAGGGCCGACTTTGGGCCCTTTGGAGTGAATCCCCCGCACGTCCATCCCCGGGCCACCGAGCAGTTCTTCGTCCTCTTCGGCCAGTTCTACGTCGGCTTTGTCACCAACGATTTCAAGCTGTATGCCACGACGCTGCAGCCCGGGGATGTGTTTATCTTCCCCCGCGGCCTCCCTCAGTTTCAACTCAACATGGGGAGCTCTCCGGCGTCGGCGTTTGTGTCGTTCAACAGCCAGAACCCGGGGGTGATGCAAATGCCACACGCGCTGTTCGCGTCCGACCCGGAGATCACGGACGCGGTGCTGGCGAGGGCGTTTGGGATCCCGCTAGATGGATCCAGTTTGAAGCAGATGAAGGACAACATCCGTGCAATGTTTCCAAAGTTGTGAGTCCGCAGATGCCGCAAATGGGCATTTGTTTTCTTATTTTATGTTTTTGAAGATTGCTCTTGGCATTTTGAATGGGATTCAAAAGATTCAACCCTTTCAAATAAATGCTTATGCATGTTACATTTGCCGAATCTCACTACATTGGCACCAACACAAACTCGCCAACCCCACTCGGATCAACGTCGCGAACCTTGTAAGAAATGCTATGCGTAGGATCGTACACGATCCAGAACTTGGGAGCATACCCAAGCAGCACGCCGCAGTGCGGTATGCACTCAAGATCAAACTTGCCATTGTAGATGGGCAGCGTGTTTTGCGCAATCTCCTTCTCGACAAGCACACGGGGCGGCCCAACGCAGCGCAGGCTCGTCACAACCGGATGCTTGGCTACAAGCTGCATGAGCACATCCCTCGTCACAGACTTAAGCTTCAGAATGGAGCCTTTATGAACTCGAACGCTGCTCGAGAAATCCTTGGATAGAACGAGAAGTTCCCCTCTTTTCCCCGGCTGCTGGCCCAGACTGAGCTTAGGAGCTTTGAGCATAGACATGGCTCGAGCACATATTTTGATGGCTCTCACCCAGGTTGATCTGTTCTTGAAAGTTTCTCCTGAAAGGCTGGCAAAGACGCCGAGGAGGAGGCTACTCCAGTCGATTTGGGGTTGATAGTCACTTCTTTCCGGCATAAAAGTCACTGTCGATGTAGATTCAGTCATTGCCACAAGCTCGGGTTCCTCCCGCCACCCGAAGCCACATATCTTTGGCCTCCGCGACACCATAAGATCAGGGGCTGGTCCTAATCCTTTACACAGAACGCTACCCATTTTACTTTGCTGGAACAATAAACCTCTTCGTTTTATAGCCACGTTAGAAAAGGGTTGACCTTTTTTTTACTATTTTTTTTGCCACATTTAAGCGCTTTGACACTGCCATTTGTCTGCCATCGAGGAGCTAGTTTTAGTTTTGTATTGCATGAGAAATTTTTGTATTTAACAAAACATAGAAACAAATCAAAGCCAACAAGGGCTCTAATGAGAGACACAGAGCTTTGGATGGTGGCCGTATTGGGTCTAGCAACATTGGAACTTAATGTCGAGGTTGTGTGAGTGATCACTTACTTCTCTAATGGTTTATATCGCTTGTATAATAGATGTGATTCATCACCATCTTCATCTTTCCAGGGTGTTTGTAGTAGCTACGAGCAATCTTGCTGGAGCATCCGTTACCTTCACACCACACTTTATGCCGTTTGTAGCGCCTACAACGACAGATACAGAGACACATCCCTGGACCTCAATCTTTGCTTCTCCAACGATCAGGGCGCGCTCAAGTGGCACCCCATGGGCCACTTTGTGGAGAACTGCTATGGAACCGGGAGACTGGAGAACACCAAGTTGATTGCCTATTGCAACAAGCAAGAGATCTCCGTGGACGTAACCAAACATGTTGCTAACCAGAATGGAGTCTTGACTTGCTGCTAGAGAAACACTCATAGATATATCTAAACAATTTGCATTGCCAGCCCAATGAAAGGGATGATTTAAATCACAGCTCGGATGTTTCTACCATTGATCGAGGTTTATTTGCCAAAGACAATTTAGCCACTGTATAGTGGTGTTTGCTTACTGCCATTTGGCAAACACAAAATGAGCTTCGTTTGAGTATTTAGTAACACGGCATTTGCCTTTGGGGGACGAAAGAAGCGAGAGAACTCTTACAAGGTATGAGGCGAGGAGAAAGGGCAGGAGTTTGGGTCGTGGCGGCGCTGGTGCTCACATTGATCAAACCATCTCACATCGAGGTTTGCAAACTTTGAAGGATTTCTTTCAAGAGTTTGTGTGGAGCAACTTGACGCTCTTGGCAGGCAATTTGCTCTGGTTACCCAAAATCTTGCTCGCAAATCCGCTACATTGGCACCACGCTCCACGGGATGTGCGAATCGTATGATGAGGGTACCAAGAAGACGTCGCTGGATCTCAACCTGTGCTTCTCCAACGATCAAGGCCAGCTCAAGTGGCACCCGATAGGCCAATTTGCGAAGAGCTGCTCCCCCGGAAGATTGCTAGAAACCAATCTGTATACCACCTGCAACAAGCGTTCGCTTGAGGTGGATGTGAACAAACACGTTGCTAACCAGAATGGAGTTCTAGTTTGCTGCTAAAACCATGTATAATAGATACGCCGCCCAAGCTGTATTGATTGATCAATGTTTCTCTTTGGCGAAGATAATCCTTTCGTTTATATTTCCTATGCTGCTATTCCTTAAGTTTTCGAATGAGAGAGACGATCTGTACAAAGAAACAGTGATAAAGATAAAACTACAGCTTGCGTATTTTAATATTAGTATTTGTTTAGCATTATTAACCAAATCTTAAAATCGAGAATTTTCTCACACACCGAGAAGTTTCCTTGGAGAAGATAGGAAGATAGGAAGGAAGGTTCCCATAAGCAAAAGGATCGATCCTCGAAAAAAAGAGGGGATTTTGACAGGGCCTGCATCTGGTGCGAAGCAACAGTGTAGGCCCACTAAGCGCGAAAGAGATTTCTATAGCACAAAACCGAGCCACGCCCATCTCACACGGACGATTCCACTCGGTTCACTCACATATCTGTTAGCAACATAGATCTGGAGAAACACTAGAGATGATGAAGCTTTTGCCTGTCACGAAGAGCAGCATGAAGACGACGGTGGCAGCAGTGAGCCGATTGAAGTGATGAGCGACGCCACCACTTCCTTCTTCACCTCGCCACGCTTTGGAGGGAGGGGCTTCTTCTTCGCCGCCTTGAGAACATCCTCGCGCTGGACCCCCTGTGCACTAGTCTTCGCCGCATTCTTCTTGTCGTCCATGGCGAGTAGACTCGAGTCGAGCGCACGCAAGAAGGCCGAGAAACCCCCCTTGCAACACTGGTGCTCTTCTTTTCCTCCTAGAGCGATGGAAAAACCACTGTGCGGGCTTTACCTAGCAAAGGTAAGCCTGCAAAACCACAGCTGAGTCACTGTAGCAATGGTTACGAGGAGGAATTTACCATGGTCCCACATTAAAACGAGCAGAGGCTTCTTTAGAAAGCCAAGCTTGAGTTGCAGGCGCTTCAACCATCTTAAGTGCCTGAGACAAGAAAATACGGCATTACAGAGAAGCCAAACAGCTTAGATTTGTTTTACCTGCAGCACAGCCAGCATCATTGACTCGTGATCTTATCGTCCGTTTTGCTCCTGCGAATAACAGTCGGAACTCCAAAGCAGACGGGCGATGCTCCAATCAAGTATGGAAGTCTGCACGCTTCCCTGCCGGCTTCGATGCTGGGACCGATGCAAACTTCTTCCCATTCTTCGGTCGTAGATAAACTGTCGTCCACCTCCTGTACTGCCTTCGACGAACTTCTACCCCTTCTTGGGGCCTTCACCGGCGTCTTGATCTTTGGTTTCGAGGCCCCTTCGTTTGCACAGCTCTCTAGCCATCTCTGGAGCACAGCTCTGCTAAACCTGTCGATGTCTCCATCAGTCACGTCCCACAGGTTTGCTATAGCCAAAGGACAACTAGCCATGAGGTAAGATAGCGGCACTCCAACTGGTTCGTAGTCTCCCCTTGCGGAGAAACGACCACTACTACATCCCATCAGAAGCGATGCTGGACACTGTACAAGCTTGCGCATGTGCTTCTCAGGAAAATATTGGTCACCTGAAATAATGTGTTACTCGCATTTAAAAGAAAAAACATAAAAGTTACCACTGCCATGTCCGAGATAAACGAACATGTCATGCTGCTGAAATCCTTCCAAATACTCGTCAAGCGTAGGGACCTGGCCTGTTTTACCCTGAAAGATAATGGTGTAAACCGTTAAGAGCGTAAGAAAATCCAGTTACCTCCCAGCCTTTTTGGCGCCTAAACCATTCCTCAAAAGCCGACTGTGTGCTTTCTAAATCACCTCCAGGATTTAACAGGTAAAATGTACTATGAGGATTGACGGCTGGTCTGGATGCTCCTCTAATGGCGTTTCTTCTCGCCTTTCCATTTAGTTGTAGACGCCCCAAGCCATTACAAACGTCGAGCTCCAACAATGAATATCTATGGTGGATGAAAACGGCTTTTATGCTTCCTAGCGAAGGCATGCGATATGTTTCAAGTTTTCGCATGACCGGAAGGCTTTCCCATGGTAAGGCCTGCGAAAAGACGTGTTAGAAGTGAAAAACGTTGCAGACACAAAGTTACCTGCAATTTACCATCAAGGACAAGTTCAACGGGCTCCCTCTCAATATCCAGCTCCTTGTTGGTTGCCGATAGAAATGAAGAACGAAATGCTTCCGCTGCTTTCTCAATCAATAATTCCTCCCTTTCTCCAAGGTTATGATCCCAACCCAGAATAAAAGCGATACCTTGGCGGAGCTGCTCAGCTTCTAGTGAGCCAACTGCTTGCAGCAATAACTTTACCAGCGCTTCCTCAGGTACTTTACATGCTTTCAATTGCCCAAGGAAACTCTTGGACTTCAAAGTTCGGCACAGCTCCTTGGACTTTTTGCGAAGGGCTTCTGAAACAGAGGATCGAGCAGGTTCTCCCAGCAGCAGACATTTCCAGAATCCAAGCCAGCTGTTTTCTATGTTTCTGCAGAAAAGACAAATATAAAATAAATAAAAATAAAATAAAAAATAAAAAATAAAAAACGTCAGACCTTAGACATGAAGCCAGTCGTGTATCTAGCTCAGTTCTCCATTTCCACCACTGGTTTTTTTCTTCTGGAGTAGATACTGGTAGTAGACGAGACGTAGATTGACGGCTTTCATCTAGAATAGAGGCCAGTTCTCCCATAAAGGCTCTAACTAGAGCATCGGATTCTAAGACGCTTTTGTGCCTCCATCTGCTTTCAGGTGCTTGGCGAACTTCAAAACCAGTACGATTAGCACAGCCTATGGGGAGGATGGTAACCACGACATCGCCTCCGATGCGAGAGATAAGTAGCCATGCGGCAATAGGATCTTTACCAATTTGCTCCAAAATAAAAGAGAACTCTTGCTCGAGTAAGCTGATGCAGCATATAGTTGCGGAAGGCAATCCGTCCATAAGCGCCTTAAACTCGGCCCTCAGATCAAATGATCCTTCTTGTACCACTCTAGCCAAAGATTAAAACCACGAGCTTAGGAAATTCCATATACAGATCGAGATTGCCCACCTCAGTGCTTTTCTCATTTCTTTTATACACGTTCGAGCATCAGCCTGGACAGTATTTCAGTATAAACCAACACAATAAAGCAAATAAGCACCTGTTGCGATTTAGAGTCGAGTACTAGAAGGTGTTGCTGGCGACTCATCGATCCTATGGATGCTTGGTGAAAATAGGCGGCTAACTCCTTCGTCTCATGGTTGCTATTATTCGTAGCAAGCATTAAAAAGTGAAGGATTGCTAAAAGTTGGCACACCTGAGTTCAAAACAAATTGGAGCATGTCCTGCATTAAAAGAAATAGATGCATACCTTTTTAGACAAAACAGAAGCCGTAATACTCAAGAAAAAGGCGCGGTACAACCAAGTGCATGGCATAGACAAAAATTCGTCACTAACTCTGCAACCAGAAATAAGATATCGGCAAGGAGATAATATGTACAAACCTTTGAGCACACCCTTCCCACAAACGAAGTAAGCTCCAGTTATACAGCAAGTTCGCTTCCTCTAGGGGGAACAAGCTTGCGTTGATGCTAGCATGGGAGCTCTGCTCAGAGGTTTCGACTTCTACATTAATAAGCTGTCTCGCTTGCAGGTAGCTCTCTTCTGCCTTGAGGACGTCTCGTAGCTGAAACCGACAGCTGCCTACAAACAGGAAAAGTGTTAAACAACGCACAAGGAAGTACAAACCCACCTTGTTCGATAAACAGCTTCGCGGCCAAACACCGACTATGATATTCCCACTTGTAGCGCGTCCAGGCTGACAACGTAGTGTCTCTCAGACGGAACTTTCTGTACCCTCCATGAGAGGCATGCTTGAACTCCTCCAAGACTTCCCGCAAGAAAGGCAACTCGGTCAAAGCTTCTATCGCAAATTCGTAGTGCATCAGAGCAATGTCCAGTTTGGTTTTGGTGCAAATGTTCCCTCCGTCCAGCTTTGGAGAGTGCCGAGCGAGATCCCCAAACCGCAGTTTAAGGAGACATTTTTCCATCGTAATGCAGCCGGCACAAACATTGCCACTATTCAGCTCTTCCAGCATTTTCTCAGCATCCTTTAAACCTTCCTCGGCATGTTCCCACATGTGCTGCTTCCTGTGCACTTCACCTGTAACACAAACAAAAATACTTTTGTTGTGGAAGAACTGTTCTAACGTACCTAAAGCAGAAGTAAAACGTATACAAGAAAAAGTTAGATTTTGAGCCTTCGCCAACCAAAGTCCCTCGCGAAAGCTTCTCTCAGCTTCGTCAGAGAATCCTAGTTTTTCATGCAAAGAACCGACCTGAAAACAGAGTAGAGTGAAACAATCATTAAAAACGTAAATGTAAGTACCTGCATCAGACTTTCTAAATAATCACCAAGGATGTGCCATTGACTGAATTCGTAGCACGTATTACGGCTGAGCAACGATGGCCATGAAAGGACTGCAGAAGGACCGACTGCCTCGACTTTGCTTTTTGAAGTGCTATGACTCACATCCTTGGACACCAAGAAGGTACGATTTAGAAGCTTCAGCCGCAATTGAAGGCTTTCGGTTGCAAGTTTGATAGCCTAGATTCCATTTAATAGTTAGCGACTATAAACATGACGCACACGTACCATTTCCAAGTCCCCTCTTTGCATAAATACTTCAGCCAAATAGAACTGTAACCTTGATAAGTGTACACGCTCCCGAAAACTCTGGCAAATCAAAGATAAGTCAGGCATCACTTATAAACAATAAGAGTTTGACAACACTTACATTCGGTGTACCACGAGCCAATGTGAGAGCCGCGTCAGTTTCCAACAAATGTTGTTGAGAAAATGCGGACAAATCTTCACTGAGGACTAGCTTTACTGCTGCCGCAAGTGAATCGGTAGTTTTCCCAAAATCGTACAAAACGTCCATTTTCTGTCCAAACTTCGTCTGCAGGATAGCTTCGAAGTCCGACGATAGGGGAACAAGACAAAGAACATGGCTGGTACGCGTATTTTCCCAAACTGAAGAACTCTGTGATTCATACCAGTACGAAATGAATTCGAATATTAATAATTGTATCTCATTTTGTAGACTCGTCAGTGCCTGCCATTTTGTTGCTTTGAAATATATATATAAATTTGAAGACCTTACCTTCAAAGACAACAAATCTGCCATGCTCCTCAATAAAAATAAAATTGATTCTTTGGTCATCCTATAAGATGCTCCAGCGTTTGCTCCAGTTCTTAGATATCCCAGAAACTTTCTCCAGGCTTTAACTGCTGACGTCAAATCCGCAACATATTCCTGAAACAAGAACACTTGGTGTAAAATATGCCACAAAGCCCATGTTCACACCTCCGACGAAGAATCTGCCTCCTGAGAACAATGTGCCCGAAGACAATATGCAACAGCACAAAGGTAGTTCGTTTCTACTTTCTCTTCTTCCCCTGTCCTTATAGCATTTTCCTGTCAACGTAAGTATTAGCATTTATCGTCCAAAAAAGAAAAAAGAAAAAAAGAAAGGACTTACAGAAAGTAGCAAAGCCTTCGATAGGAGAGCGATAACAGTTCCAAGATTCTGCATTCCTTTCTTCCGTGCAAAGCGACCTTTCTCTATCAAAACTCTTGAAAGTTCAAGAGGACAAGATCCACCATTGTAGACCTCATCAGCAAGAAAACTGATGAGTTCCTCCTTAACTTGGTCTATCCCATGTTTTTCTGTATCATCAAGAGCCAGTAATTGCTGCCAAGAGCTTTTAACACGTTAAATCATAACCTCAAATCCTTTACCCCTTCAAGAATTAGCCCCAGCGATGCAGCAGGCGCAGGTGGCTGCAGATCACATAAAGAGCCGTACAAGCAGCATAGTTCTGGTGCGAATTCAAGGGTAACCTGTACATATTTCAGGATATTCAGAAAGAGCTCAGAAACATCCAAACATACCTTGCACCAGAGCTTCAATACACTTTGAGGACTTTCAAGCTTGAACCCCTGGCTATGAACCCTTAGCCAGTAAACCAGCGAGTTTCGAAGAACTTCTATTCCATAGTCGGTATCACTGTTTCGTACCAAACAGTCGACGTACGCCGAAGTTTTTACGCAAGCTTCCGAAACAGCCTCAACAACCGGAACAGCAGACATCATCGACAGGAAATCCACCCTGATCCAAGCACCGTCATGAGCCAATTTGAGAGGCCTGCATGCCTGAATACAGGAAGTCAGGTATTCAGATCATAGTAAGTATTACCAAGTCATACTCCTTCTTGTTGTATAACTGCACTCCCATATTATATGTAACTGAAATTAGCCCCCGAAGCTCATCTGATGGCATGCTACTGTTTAGCATAAGGTTCTGAATTTTCAAGGCGCTTTCCTTGAAAAAGCAGATGATCAAAGTCAGAAAACCACAAGTCATCAGCTTACATACCTCCAACATCTCTTCACTAACCAAATGTAGCTGCATATTATAAAAGAAAGACATAGCTTGTAACTCACATGACTGAAAAGTAGCCTTTACCTCTACTTTGGACCGTAGACTGGCGATTACAAACAAGCAAATATCTAACGCAACATTTTCCTGAACAGTGGGACTCGAGCAAAATTTACGAGCAACCTGCAGTGAGATACCTCATTAACCGATTACGTTAATAGATGGCAAGTACCTTAAGATACTGATCGACCTGGGACGAGATACTGCACCAAACCAGAGCAATTGTGCAAAAACTGTAAAGAAGTTCGGCTTCAATTGCACTCCTCGCTATCAGAATCGTAGTGGACCTGTACAACGCCTTGAAAACGGCGTCTCTTTGCGCTCCCTGGTCCTTGGAATCCATAACACTGCATCCAAAGGCCAACAAAGTGTTCCCAAGACCATCTTAAGAAAAAACGTAGCCTACCTCAGCCATGGCTCTAGTTGGCGAGGAAGACGAGCCAAACTCTCCAAAACGCCGATGTCTCGTTCGCCACTTTCGACGGTGTATAGTATCAAGTCCGTGGCCACTCCGACCACTAGAGCTGGCAAACCAGGAACCATGTCCTCGGAGCTCTTCGGAGTGGGCAAAACCAGCTTGTCAGATTGGTTCTTGGAGTTCTTCGCATTCTTCCGGCCCTTCTCATCCTTGGCCGAAGAAAACACTCGAGCGTTGAGGCTCGCTAGTATTTTCCTACACTCCGCGGCAGCTTCCCCGTACCTCTTCCACGACACCAATCGACGCACAAACCCGTATCTCTGCAGCTCGATCTCGATGATCCCGCTAGCAAGCCAGGGCCTTAAACTGTCCAGTGACTCCAAAGCCACACCCACGACTCCAAAGAGATCGCCTCCCCGCTGATACCCCATCGTGTCCCCTTCCGCTGGAATCTTCTTCAGCTCAGCACTACACAGCTTGAGCAAGCGCCCGAGGAAAGGAACAACCCTCTTCGCTCGCGCATGGCCCTCACTGTCCTTGGAATTCTTCGCGTTGGATTCTAAGTAGCATCGGACCTGATCCGAGAGCCCGGCGATGGACTCCGAGCTGGAAATGCGAGCCAGAATACCTTCCTCGGAGATCGCAATGGAGGATATTGCTGCTGGCGCTGCTGCTCGCCCCTTCCTCGCGGTTCCCCGGGCAGCCGGCGCCATAGCTAAGAACCCTAGATCCTGTCCAAGCGGGAAATTCGAAACACCACATTCTAGGGTTTATGTTGAGGCGATTGATCCACGGTGATTCTTGCCCAGGGGCGAGGATCCGGAAGAAGACGAATGCATCGGCGGAGGAGATCTACTACTACGGCCTGCTCCAGCTCGCGATGCTGCGATTGACGATGGCGACGCGCTACCACTTCTCGCGAGCGTGCGCCATGGCGGGCGTGGAGCTGGAGGCGCTGCTGCTGGCGCTGGGCATGCCTAGGTTAGTCATGGATCGGTCCAGGAAGACGGCGGAGGATTGCATCCACTACTCGGAGATGTATCACAGATCGAGCGCGATCGTCCGGCTGGACGAGAGCGACGAATCCAGGATGAGATCTTCGGTGGTCGAGAGCTCCTCTCCTCCAGCGCTGGATGGGAGCCTTCTACTCTTTCTCCGGAAGAGGGTGAAGGGGCGGCTGTTCCACTACATGAGATCTTCCAGGGACTCGCGGGTAGACAAAGCGATACTGACCAGCGCGAGATCTTTCGGGCTTAGAACAGTCTTCTGGGTGGAATCGAGCTTCTTCTCGCGAGAGGGCGATGGCGAAGAGTTGATCCGGGACGCTAGAACCATCGCTCGCAATCAGGAATTCCTGGACGAGTCCTACTCGGGCTGCCAGCATTTCCAGGCCTTGCTCCAGCGGCTGCCCCCTGAGGAGAAACTCCCGGACGTCACGTTTGATCCTCGCAACCGTGGCTCCGGCTTCTACACCGAGATCTTGGGGACGGTGATACCAGCCGCAAACACGGTGGCCGAGTCGGGTGGCCTGGGCAAGTTCGGCCTCGTCGCGCTCTACACGTTCCAGCTCAAGCAGCTCGAAGAACTTCTCCGTCGAAAACTGGCAGAGGAGACCGCGGATGATCAAATGCGTGACGCTCCAACTCAAGATCAGGTCCAAGGCTTTTCTACTCGGGTGTGAACTTCACCAACACTCCAAAACTTTGCTCTCCGTCTCTTTGCTCTTCGAGGACTTTCTCCAACTCTCACGCACAGGCGTTGCTCCAAAAGTAAAAATGGGAATGTATAAAGGTTCAAAGGGTGGGTGAATTTAATTTGGTTTATAAAGTATACTAGATAGCACGAACTGCTGAAATTACTAAATGAGAAGTACCGAATAATTTCATCCTTCGATGTGGGAAATAAGCAAGGCCCTTCAGATGTGTGCGACCTTCTGCCGGAACCAGCGAACTAGTTTGCGCCACTGCCAAGAAGCCGCTCTCCTTTTTTGAAAATATCAAGTAGTGCAAGCAGCTACGCCGGATTGGAAGTAATTGCGATCTAGTTCAGGAGGTCTAAGTCTAGCTGTGGGGGTTCGGGGAAGTAGCATTGCTTTGCTCCTTGTCCAGGCGAGTGATCACCTACTCCATCTTTCTTTTTCCACTTCTTTCCTTTAATTCCAAGGAGTGGTCAGCGGTAAAATGGTGCGTCACCGAGGTAACACAGTTCTATAACTAGCTTTTTACTTTCTACCACATATTCATAGTTCAAAAACGAAAACTAATGTCTAAGGCAAAGCAAGCAAGCCAAAGATACCTGAGAAGCCAAGAAGTGCATAACATTAGCTAAAATTGTAAAGAGTAAAGCACAGGAAAGGAGCAAAGCGACAACTAGCAAATGAGAGAGTATGACATCGACAAAGCACAATAAGAGTCACAAGATGAAGAATCCAATGGTTTACAAGGCTTCTGATGATCTTGATGAGCAACCAAGCAAGAAACTAAAGCAAAACAAGGAGCAATGTAAGTACTTTCAATTTTAAACTACTTTAGATGAATGATTCTAACTAGTTTGTCATCTATATGTTGAGTAGAACAAGACATTAAGGTAGTGACCAAGGACAAAGAAGACAACAAGATTTCTATCAAAGAGAAGGAAAGAGTTAAAGAAGTTGATGTTCAAGCTTTCACCAATAACCCCAAGGAATCAACTTAATGCAACAAACATCAACCTTAGAAATGTGAAAGCAAGAAGCAATGAAGTGGCTAATGATATGATGAACCTTTTTTGGGGTATAGAGGAAAAAAAATAGTAAACAAGCTTACTTCAAGTTTGATTAGGTGTGGGAGGAGCAATAAATTCCAAATTTAATACATTTGAACTAACTACTTTACAGGAATATGAAGTTGAACAACAACTAAATGACAATTGTTGTTGCTAGGGGGTATGTGAAGGAATTACTTGGTGAGCAAGTCAAATGGCAAGCATTTCAGGATACTACGAAGAAAAAATTGTAATGGATGTTCAGGTAAAGAAAGGAAGAAGTTGATAAAGAGGGTAAGTTCAAAATTGATTATTTATGGTCACTATGATAGGTCAACACTTTAAGCAAAAATGATAGGATAAAGCATTTAAGGTAAAATTTTATCGTCTTACAATATAGATAAACTCATTAATATTTTTTGTATATAGGATGATGAGAAGCAATAGGAAGCAAAAAGAATAGGAAGGCCAGGAGGAAGCATTTGCAAAGCAAAAGGAGCTTGATGAACAAACTATTATAAACTAGGAGCATTTAAATGCAATAATATCCTACAAAGATCAAATCTTAATTTCAAGTAGGTACTTTTCTAAAGTAGTTGATTTTTATATAATTTTGATTTTTGGTAGACAATGGCTTTCAAGGAAATCAATAGGTAATATCTTTAGAAGAATCCTTAACACAGGTCAAAACAAACTTTATGGTTATTAAAAAAGCCTAAGTAAAGTTCACAACTATAACAATAACCTCCTTGTAAGCTATGTTGCAATATTAAACAATTTATTAAAAATTGAAATGCCACAGCTGAATGAAGTTGCATATATTAAATTTCTCACGAGGTAAATTACTATAACATCATTATAAGTACTTTTAAAACCATTTAGAATCCAAGACCTTAAACCCTAAACCCATGAATGTCCAATATGTATGATTTTAATTTTAATAATAGAAATATACCTTGTTTAAGATTATATTATATTTTGATAAGCCACTAATCAATATGCCATTTGCTTTAATCCCTCACCCCTTTAAACCCAATTTAAAAAAGGGTAATTATTTGATGAAATAGCTTTTAATGGTTATTTTATCCATTAAAGTTCTAGGTGATAGTATATTAAATTTCATGTGAACTATATCGGTTATATTACCCTATAACTTCTCTTTGTCACTATCTTGTATACAAACTAGATGAGTGAGTTTCTGAATCTATGCTAATTCTTTAATTACTTGATGTAAGCAACCAAAGGGAACAACTCGAAAGACGATCCATATAAGTTCAAATATAGAAGGAATAAAAATGCACCCTTTTTTCCAATTGGTTAATGATCTTGGGATATTTAGGGTTAAATGTCCTTGGGTTTACGAAGTTGGGTGACCTCTTGGGAAATCTAAATTTAAGAGTTCACACTTGAATTTCATCATAAATTTGACCTCATAAATCAATTCCTTCACCTAATATGCTTGTAGGTTATTGATTTATAATGATAACAGCTCCAGCTCTAGTTCTCCTATAGGACCCTACACCATTTTATTTAATTCTAGTCATAGAAAGAGATAAGAAGAGTTTTTCACCAAAAACTACTCTAATGACTATGGTTGGGATAGTCTCTCAAACCTAAAGGTGTTTGTACAAAATCAAGAGCTTAAAGTTATCCAATGCTTGTAAAACAAATGTCTTCAATTGCGCTCGCTTACTATAGCAATATAGCTACTGCCATAAGAGCCAACTTCTCACATATTAAAACTCAATATAAAACTTGAAAATTGAATTGATTTTGCACACTCTGTAAAAATGGAGAGATCTTACTGATTCCTAGCTGGGGCATCCTACAAAGATGAGTGGAAGAGATGCAAGCACGCTCTAAAATTCTATAATGCCTATATGAAGCACATGAAGTGACACTAGCAATGAATGGTGAATGGTGGTGTGTTTTCAGTCGTTTCAGATTGATTATACGCTATGGTTTGCAGGTGGAATGAAAAATCTCAAACAAAACATCCACACATGGTTTTTTGTGTTCCTTTGGGCACATAATATACCAACATATTATAGAATATATGCTGCTTGGAACTCACTGTTGGGAGCTTACAGCAAACACTCTCACCCTGCTCATCGGAAATGAATAGCAGTTTTCTTTAGTTCTTTCTCCAAAATCTTGCAAATTATAGTGCTCAATGGTTGGCCTTTAATGGTGCAAATGGCAGCAACTAGTGCTCATGCTTGGTCTCACTGCTTGCTTCTATGGCCTCTCATGCTTGGTCATGCACTAAATCATTCTGAGGATGGTGGTGAAACCATGGTTATCCACGTTAAGGTGTTAACATTATTCTGCCATTAGAGCTTTAGGTTGCCCCCTTTATTTGCTCAATCTATTGCTCCTCTTTCTCT